AATCATTCTAAACTATTTTTCCTTTTTAAGAACATTTTCAAAACTGTAAAGAACATATTTTTGCAATATCCTAATTTTTCATTATTACCATTTTTTTTTTTGTATGATTTTTAGTTTACTCTGTTACTTCTTAAATTTGCCCCTATTTTTTAAAATAATAGATATATTTTAGATTTTAAATAATTTCTTTTGGCAGTGGGGTACTGAATTTTATTATATCTTGAAAAATGCACATTTTAAAAGTATATATTAACATGATATATTAAATATATTAAAACAAAAGGAAGAAAGACTATGGAAAAGAAGAAAAAATATTACTCACTTTAAAGTGGTAAATCAAAAAATATAACTTATTTTTGTTTTGTTTTTTTATATTTTTCTGATTTACCACTTTATGGTAAGTAATATTTATTTTCTTTTCCTAGCTATTTCTTTCACTTGTTTTGATTTGTATATATCTTGTTAATATATACTTTTAAAATGTCTATTTTCATAGCTATAATTATAGATATTTTTAAGAATAAGTGATCTGGCCTACAATTAGTCTTGCTAGATTGATCTGATAAAAGGAAATCTCCAAGAAAATTATATTTCTCTATTTGTATAACAGTTACGTATATTCTTTGGCATCAACTTGACACTTGTTTTTCTTTCTAATAATTTCTTAAATTTATCTTTTAAAAAGAAATTGTAATTAAATGAATTTTGGATAAAAAACAAAATTCTCCATCTCATAGTCTTAATTTTCTCCTTCTTTTCCATGCAATACATGTAACTATTCATTTAGGTCTATTGACATGACATCTTTGAAAGCAACTATTTATTGGGATGAACAGCAAAAATGAAAATATTACTTCAAAGAAATTCTTTCTTCCTCATTTCTGTTACCAATTAGTTTTAATTAAACAACAGAAATTTTCAAATTAATCTTTTAAAAAGACTTTTTTTTATTTTTCTTGTGTTCTCAAATCATTTCAGCTGTATAGCAATAACAGAATATCAAGTATAAATTTGAAGCTGAAGCAAGCCTATAAGTCTTAAGTGAAAGTATCTCTTCTTAACATAGCTTTCTATTTTTAGATGGTCAGTTTTCAATTGAAATTATATAATTAGAAAATAGTCCTTCTGTGTAATGTCCTGTCAGGAGTTCTGAGAAAAATACAAAAGTTAAAAGGAAAAAGAAATGCTTCTGATATGTCATTAGACACTGTGTAATAGCATCCAAAAGGAAAACAAATTGTTGTGGCAAAATGAAGATATAATTTGAGACTTTTTCAGTGAACAAACCATGGAATAAATGTTTTAAAAAATTAAACATTTTAGTTTTACATGATATACTGTTATGCTCTGCATTATAAATTGTTTCTTCATTTTTGTTGCCCTGCTAAACTTATTTAGATTTTTAGATGTTTTTAAACCTGTAATCCACCTGTTTAGAGTGTTGTTAAAATGAGTAGAAATAACATTTTCCTCTTATAAGACTCTTCTCAACTCTAACATTTTATCAGTGGCATGATACATTTTTCCTTAATTTATATTTGTTTAAGTTGTTAGACATTTTGCCCAACTGCAATTTGTAAATGATACATTTTACCAACTTCTTTATCTGCATGCTAATTACTAATTAAAGTTTTTCTATAATGCAAAATTCCTTAGCTGAAATCACTTTTTATTTTATAAGAACTTACCACCTAGCACAAACTAAATCTGATCATATTTATTATACAAAAAAAAGTGAAGAAGCCAACCTGTAGACTGAGTGATGGTCTCCCCACCCTACAACAAAATTAATATCTTCATTAGGATGGTCACTTGTAAAAGTTCAGATACATTTAGGTGGCTGATTTATCCCTAATCCATAATACCAGACTGTTTCAGTTTATCTCTGGTTCTGGTTCCAATGCTAATCCTTCTTTTTACTGAAATCTCCATGTGTTTATAAATGATGTGTGTATGGGCAATAGGAGGATGTACAAGTATTTAAGAATAATTCTTTAATAATTACATATCTCCATATGAGAGAATTTAATTTACATATGATCTTATACAACAAACTATGTGCAATTATTCACATATGCTGTCTAGTATATATACAGTTATTTTAGAAAGAGAAAAATACAGAAAAGCTTTGTTCCTTAATAATGTTGTATTTCTTCTCACTTATAAATAATATCAATAAAAATCTGTTTTGCAAGTATTTTACACTCAGAACTCATGGCTGCTTTGATTGTGAAACAATATAGCCTGGGGAAAAAGTTCCTGTCAAATGCAGACAAGTTTTATAATTTCAGTTTCTCTAAATCTGCTTTCAAGAGGGGATTTAAGACAAGAGGATTCTCAGTAGATTCAAATCTTTTTGCTCATTTTGTTTGGGTTGAAACAAATTTAGAATATTTTATTTTGGCTCTTACAATTTAGGAGATTTTTATCTAAGCTGTTTTTCTGGCCTTGTTTCCCCCTTATACTTTTGTTAGAAAATAAACTGAGTAAAAAGGATATCATAAAATAGAACAGTTATCAATTCTGCTTTGTGTGTTAAAGAAGTTATAAAAGTATTTGCTTGTTTGTGAATATGCATTTAAGAGTGTGTGAATGAATGTGCAAATGTGTTTTGGGTTGTATTTTTTTTTTGGTTTTAATCTAACCATAATCTTAAATAAATAAAACAAAAAGGTATGTATACTTTTGGGATCTCATTCATAAAATTGCATGAAAATTATCTGGTCTTGAACTGACTAACAAAGCAGAGTGACTAACAATGTTGGTTCTCTGACCAACATATTTTATGTTATTGTCTTACTACAAAAATTCATTTCAAATGTTAAAAATATTAATAAATTTTCTTATTCAATTGAATCAGTTTGTTTATCAGTTGGTAAGAAACAAAAGTAAATGATAGAAATATTCAGCTTTTCTAATCAACAATAAGGCTGTATTTCATATGGAAGCTTGGTGATTGAAAATAGATTTAATGGTGGTGATATTGCATTTTCTGAAGAAACAAATTAGTATAAGAGTAGAGAGAAATATTGTTAAAAAAGGAATCCATCTAAAGAAAGGTGTTCCCAAAATCCATTTGAATCAATAAAAATAATTCACAACAATTAAGGATAAATAACATTAATGCACTTTTAATTTTACATATCTCCCTCTCTCTCTCCCCACAAAAAATATTCTCAGAAAACAAGTGAATATAGTAAATTCCAAGTAGAATTCCAAAGAACAGTATATCATACAATTTGCAAAATTCTGATTCATTCAGAACCTTTTTTCTTTAAATAAAACCCATAAGAAAATGGTAATCAATCCTATCCTTGCCATTGAAGGCTAGCAGTTCTTCAGTAGGGTCAGCTAATAATACTATCTTGTTTTTCTTTATTTATTTATTTATTTTGTATTCCCATTACTTTTTTGTTGTTACATGCATTCAGACACTTCATTTATTACACACATTGTTTAAGTGTTACTGAGTTTTTAAATTAACACTTTATAACCTTTTAAAAATTTTGTTCTTACATTAAGTAGTCAGACCCAATTTAATTGCTTTTTTTTAGTTCATTCCAGTCATAGTCAGATATTTCTCCTAAAATTTGAATCTTTCATATTAACCAAACATCATTCAACAAAAATGTTTTCTCTCAATAAATTTATGAATTATTAAATTTTCATTATTGCAAATATATTAAAATTGTTACTATAAGAATTTTTATGTATTAGTTCTTTGTTTTTCTTGAAATTCATTTTGCTCTGTATATTAAAAATATTTCCTCTTTTTTTTTGTAAAATTTGAATCTGAAAGGAATTTATTGCTTCTTTTAATTATTGTTTGTGTCTGTGTGAAGTGATTTTTGATGCATTGATTTAAATTGCTTGAAAATATAGTTTTATTAAAAGCAATTCAACTCATGTATTTATATTTCTGCTTTCAAAATTGACAACTGATTTTCAAACATTCAAATCTTTTCAAATCTGTAAAGGCTTTAATTGATTAGAGAATTTTACATTAAACCACATTTTATTCGTAATTTTAATAAATTTTGCTCTGTTGAAAAAAGATGACATCCTCATTTCAAATTATTGATAAAAAACTAAAAGCTTGTTATATCTGGATGCTTTTTTTTAATTTATATTAAAAATTGATAAATTGCAGTATTCTCATAGAGTTAATGAGCCCAAAAATAGAATTGACTTTTCAGTTGTTGATAAAAGAAACCAGAAACTTACAACTAAAATCTCAGTTTCACTCCTCTCCTCTTCCATCTCAAATTATCATGAAATCTTTAACAAAAGTTCTGAAAGATGACTACATTGTAATGAAAAGAATTCAATAAGAAAATATAAACTCTACAGGCTGAGGAACATTCAAAAACTTTATTGAACACACACACACAAATTAGACATAGCCTTGTTTCCTATCAATATCTTGTTTTGCAAACAAATTAACCAAAACTTCTTTCACTTTTTTGATACTATTTAATAAATGTAAATAAAACTTTATAATGACTGTAACAATGCAATAAATAGGTTGTTTTAACATAGTGCTAAAACCCAGTGAATGATAGGGTTTTTCTGTTACTAATCATGTTGACAATAAAAAAAACATGAAAAAAGAAGCCATATTTTTTTCTTTTATATTCAATCAGGTTTGTATATTTGTGCACTCAATCAAGAATATGCTGATACTTACACAAAGTAAAATTATTCTTAATGAAATTTAAGAACTTTGAATTAAAAGTAGTCTAAAAGTTCTTAATACAAAGCAGAAAACAAGCCTGAAAATTTTGTTCAGTTTTAAAAAGACAAAAAATATTTCCGTCTTAAAAAAATACATTTAATTTTTTTCTATCAAAATGTTGTCGCTTTCCACTATTATCAACATCAGTGCATCCTTTATTGTTTTTGCTTGTTTTGATTATGAATAGAAATAATTGCCCCAAAATATAAATTTGAATGATTCAATTCATCTTTTTATTTGATAAACTTATGTTTTTATACTGCAGGGTGCCTCATCAAGTCTTGTTGTGAAATTTGCTGATACAGAAAAGGAAAGACAGCTGCGTCGAATGCAGCAAATGGCCGGCCCCCTCAGTCTGTTAAATCCATTTGCTCTTACACAGTTTGGTGCTTATGGGGGATACACTCAAGTCAGTACACAGGTGAGTCACTTCTTGACATCCGAGAGTCATTTTTTGCATTGTAGAAACATGTTACCAATTTTTTTAGGTATCTGTACAGATTGGCAAGCTCAAAAATAACAGCATGCACTGATAATAGGCAAATATGTGTTAAATCTATCATCAATCAATCAATGTCATTTCTTCTAATCTTTTTCTAATGGCTTAGTCAAAGTAGTCAAAATTATAGGAATTTGCCAAAATAAGCAAGTAAACCTGTAAGAAGCTTCAGTAATAAAAATCTATTCACAAACAAATACCAGGTCTAAATGACTACAGAATAATAATAATGAGCAAGGTATACAGAAAATGCTGTTTTTGTTTCAGCAACTTATGCAGCAACAGGCTGCAATCATGGCTGCTGCTGCTACCCAGGGTACATACTTGGCCAGTCCAATTGCATCCCTGGCTGCACATGTTCAATCAATGAATGCGTTAGGAGCCCCCAATGGAATCACGACGGCTGCCATTACACCCACAACTGGAACGCTAGCAAATGGTGAGTATTTACTAAGTCTTTTTTATCCATCCTGTCTTGATGTGTGTATATGTATAATGTACAGTATTTGAAAAGTTGCTGACCATCTGTTTCTAACAAACTCCATTTTATAAATATTTAATGTTTGTCCTCTAATTAGGGCACTTGTGTCTAGTATATGCTCATAAAACCAGCATCACTGCAAACACCATTTCTTAAAGTAAGGCTGATTTGCATGCAATCATGATAAATATATCATTTAAAGGTGTCAAATGACACTTGTCCATGGTGATCTTTAGGGATTATTTTATCTCAGCAAAACAAAACCCACTCACAACATTGATAAGATTTGAGCACAATTGCAATAGAATTTCAGAAAAGAAATAAGATTGAAATTTTTGGTGGATTGTTAATGAATATGAATGGTTGCAATACAAGAGCATTATGAAACAGAAAGACACCAGAAAGTGTCACATAAAAAAGAAAAGTGCATATATAAATGCTTTGTGGGAAGACAAAAATATATTTAAACTCATCTCTTTACAAGAGTATGAGAGACTGATGTTAATTAAGCACTTTCCTTTAGAGTAATAACAAATCCAAAGCCTTTCTTTTTCTACGCTTATCTTTTCATTAGTCATAATTATTCACTATTAATAAGAAGGACTATAACACTAGCATTTCTATAGGGGTTTGCAAAAATGTAATTCATTGTAGCTTTAGCTTCACTCTTAATAGCATTTCAGTTTAGAAACAAATTAAGACATAGGACAAGGAAGGAATGGTTCCCAGAGGATCATGGCCACCAATGCATTCCACTTTGAGGTAAGAGACAAAGAAGGAATGGCTCCCAAAGGATCATGGCTAACAGTGTGTTTCACTTAGAGGTGAGGGAGCAGGAAGGAATTGTTCCCAAAGGATCAGGGCCATCAGAGTGTTTCACTTTGAGGTAAGGGACATGGAAGGAATTGTTCCCAAAAGATCATGGCCAGCAGTGTATTTCACTTTGAGGTGAGGAACAGGGAAGGAATTGTTCCCAAAAGATGATGGCCACCAGTTCATTTCACTTTGAGGTGAGGGAGAGAGAAGGAATTGTTCCCAGAAGATGATGGCCACCAGTTCATTTCACTTTGAGGTGAGGGAGAGAGAAGGAATTGTTCTCAAATTATCACAGCCAGCAGTTTATTTTTCACTTTGAAGCAAGGAATAGAATAGGGATAGCTCTCAGATGATCATTATCAACATCAGGGCTGGATTAAGGTCTGTAGCATATCTTATAATGGGCACCTAAATTTAAAAAGTACACATAAATATTAAATCATAAATTATTTACGAGCATAATTCATGTATTTCATTTAGTGTACAGACAGATAATACAGCAGATATATCTGAAACTTTATTTATAATATTACTTACATGTAGGTATATATTTTAAATGTTAGAATTAATTTAATTCAAATTTAAATGTTACATGTTCTGGATTGAGCATAAACAAATTTGTTCATGGGACTAAAGATGTCATAAGTGCATATTCAATCTGTTTTTCCCATTGTGTACTTAAATTCATTTTTAATCATTTTCAGTTTTGAAAATGAGCATTTTCCAAAGTAGTTGGTAGTCATGAATGACAAATAGATGCAAAAGACATATTCTATATTTGGAAAACTAGTTTCAAAAGAATTGCCAGTAATCAAATATAGTCAAACTCTAACTCAACAGAATCTTGTTTGGCACAAATATGAGAAAGGAGATTAGTTTCCAGCAGTTCAGTAAATGGCACAAATTCTTCACTAAGATATTTTCATCGAGATATATCAACTAGAATTTGATTAGATTTGATAACTTCATTACAATCTCTACTGGTGTAAATGTGACTGTAACTGATAAAGGAATCCAAATACACCATTCACTTTTCACTTTTTGATAAGTTTTCTTTTGTTTTAACAGAGCAGAAAGTGCTATAAAGTCATGAAATATTCAGCTTTTAAACTTCTGAGATGTTTGAGATTCAACAAGGGGATCAAGAGTGCTGGTGCCACTGAAATTATGAAATGTACAATTTCAGCTGTGCTCTCTCTGAATTTGTTGTTGATAATCTTCACACTCAGTCAGATCCACAGCTTTTTACTCAATGTCAGAAAAAATAAACCACATGGTTTGAATATATCCATGCAAGGATTCATAAAGCTGTGTTCAGATCTTGGCCTGAAGACTGCAAAAAGTAATGGTCATTTAAAAATGCTGTTTTCAATTTCATTAGGATTGAATGTAATCTATCAGTCTGTTGCTAGCACTCTGCTTTCTGATCCTTGTTATTTGAAAAATCACCCAAAACTTGTTTTATTTCAGAAAAGCTGTATAAATAGACTTTTTGAGCTGACCACCAGATAATGCTGTAGAAAGAACATTCCAGTGATAAGTAAAAGCAAAAAATGAATACAGGCTTTCTAAAAAAATTTTTTAAAATAACTGAATGCTTCTTGACAACATTCAGCAACACATTTTCCAAATTCAGTGAGTGTGCAAAATATGGAATATAATCTGCAAACTCATTTAGCTCTTTAATTCATGCTTATTAAGCTACTCATATTGGTGGTATTGTCATCATTTTGACAATGGCAATCCTTTATGTCAACATCATTTTTGTTTTTTTAAATTAAATACAAGTAGACAATCAATTTTAAATTTTATTATGAATTTATTGTAATGCAATATGCTTACAAATGATGTGGCAGGACTGTTTTAATGATTCAAGAACAATATATTCATAATAAATGTTAAAAATAGCATATTAACATTTAATTTAAAACTTGTACTGTAAAAGTAGACAGTGAAATATAACATGCCATAAAAGTAAACTGATTCACAACATGATGTAAAAGTAAAGTGATCTTTTATTTTTATTGTAGTGGGTTTTTGCTTGTTTTTCAACTTTCATGCTGAGCTTTCATCCAGACACCAAATATATATGCGTGTATTTATCAAAGTTTCCTATCTATCATGTACTCACAAATGCATGAACTGCTTTTGTTAAAATGAAAGATCAGATGGCCTCACTCACTTTAATGTGAACTGTTTAATATTTATATGAATTTAACACTCAGTTGATGATAGGTCTATAGTAATATCATTATCAAAGAGACTATGAGTAAATAGTGTCTCATGGAGTTTTGTAGCCTACTACATATGCAATAAAATGTATTAGGCTATGAACTAATGAAACCAATAAAGTTATATATTAGGGGTTGAAGATGTTTTATTTGAAAATCATCCCAGGATGCAACACTTACCAATCATAAATATATTTTCTGGACCAAAGAAGAGAATTTTGGTAGCAGCCTAAGCACAAAGCAGAGAGTTTTTAAGTTGCACTTTGAAGCTATGTAAATAAATGGCAATGAGGAATCTAAGATGATTGAAGGTGAGTAAGCTTATAAAACAATTAAATATTTAACTTCTATCAGCATAAACAAAGCCACATTTAATGGCCTTGATATAATGTTACCTGAAATGATGAATAATTAAAGATGCAGCCCCCCCCCTCCAGCATGTAAGCATTAACATTTCTAAGTCATGTAAAACACTGATTTTGCCAGACATTTTGAAAGTATTTAATGTGAAGCCCTTGAAAATATGAGGCTTGTAGCATTTGCTACTTTTGATTCTAGCTTAATCCAGCACAGATCAGCAGTGTATTTTTACTTTGGACAAGGACAGGGTGGCAGTGGCCTTCTAATGATTAGGCTCAAATGAATAAACTTAACAGCACATTTTGATTTGAAGTGAAGAAATGATAAATAATGATCTTCAAATGAATAAAATTAGAAGTGTTTTCTACTTTGAATCAAGGCTCTAAGAAAGGAATAGGATCAACAGTATGTTTCATATTGACACAATAAAAAGGAAGCAATAATCTTCAAATCATTAGGATTATAAATATATTTCAAATTGAGGCAAATAATAGTTTTCTAATGATTAAGATCATTAATGTATTTCAGTTTTGAGGAGCAGGGAATAGGTTTGCTATGGTCTTAATGATTAGTCTCAGCAGGAAATTTCAATTTGATGTGAAAGTCTGTTAAATAATAATGTTCAAATTATTAGGATTTGCAGTGTACTTCATTTTGATACCAAAAAATGGAATAATAATTAGGATCTGCTCTGTGACAAGGGAAAGGAAAACATCATTACTGATACATATGGTATCACTCCAATTTATCCATTACAGCCAAAAAAACAACCACAACTAAGCAGATAAATAAATATTAAGAAATTTAAACAAAAAGGCAAATAACTAATTGTTTTACCTTGAACATTAAGCAAAATGAAGCCTCAGAGAAGAATGGCAATTTATACAAAATTGTATACAATGTTTCTCTAAAGAAACTCTCATAACTAGTTAATATGAAAGGAGATAAAAATTCAATTTTTTATGCAAGGAAAATAAAACATAAAAAATGTTTTATATTGTTCATATTTTTCACTTTCATTTATTAATTTAAAATGTTTCAGTACATTTTAGCAACTTTCTTTGTAATTGGTCAAACATGAAATAAAAACCAAACAATTTGCATCCAAGAATGTTTTGATTAGAATGTTATTAGACATGAGTCTCTAAGAGTTAACAATATATGGTCATATATAAACGATAGTAACAGTGAAATAATCAATGATATTGAGATTAATTAGCTTAAAGAAAAGAATAATTTGATACGAAATCTGAAAATCATCAACAATGATCCATGAATCTTTCTAATTTTTGGCCAATCTTCATTTAATTTATTGCTGCTTTTGATTACAACATTCTAGATCAAAAACAAATCTTTTACAAATAAGTAATGCAAATACATCTTGCAATTTGAATACTTTTTTAAAATTATTTATGAATATCTATGCTCACAATAAAAAAAAGCACTAACTCCATAATTAGTGTTCTGCAAAAACAGAATTATTTCCCTTGCATTATCGAATCATTCGTGATTTGTAGGAAGCGTTTAAAAATTCTTATAAAAAGAAAACACTTGCTAAAAAAAAACATTGAAGAACAAACTTAAAAACACGCCAAACGAAAGAAACAAAGAAACATAGTTACTTGCAATGATACTTAGGTAGGTTAACTATAACTTCAAACTGAGGCAGTCCTGATCATACCGGGTTATAAGGTAAGGCTATTCTTAAGGATATTAATTATGAATATAGGCTATTTTAAATCTTCTTTTAGATATGAATATATAAAATCATAAATAAATAAATAAATAAAAACATTGCACAAAATTTAAAATGATATTAACCTCATTAAACTTTAGATCTTAAAGAAGAGAGATTGAAGGACTAATATTTTAAAAATGTAATAAAAAATGATAATTAAGCCTGGAGTAAACCAAATTTTAAATTGCTTACATTTTACATTTTCCTATTAATAAGTGATTTATAATCTTAAACTTTTTTAGCCCTGCATTCCTGAACAATTTTAGCCCTTCTGCCTCCTGAGCTCCTGAGTCAAAATTCACAAATAATTGGTATATAATGTTTCATGGTAGATATAAAAATAGTTACAAGTTACCCGCCATTCAACAAATAGCTGGGCATTAAGTCATTTTTTCTACCACTGTTCAATGGGTGGCTGAGCATTACATCATTTTTCTCTACCACCAGTAAAGCGGTGGTCAGGGCTCAAAGTGTTAAATCAGAAAAAAATGGAGAAAAAATCATTTCATGCATCCTTATGGCTCTTTCTTGTATACTAAGAATAACTAGTTTTTTTCCCTGAACAAAACATATGTCCAATAAATAAAATCAGGTCATGTGATAAAATAGAGAAAGTAGCTCTACCTTTCTAGTCGAGTACCTATGCATCATGTTCAAACACATAAATCCTTCAGTGAAATATATAGACAATCTAGAGTGTTGCTCTTCATATAATGTTGAGATTTGTGGGTAATATCAAGTTTTGTCATATTTGGTTATTCATAATTCAGAAGTATCATGAGACACTTATGGATAAGAAAAGTTAAAAAAACATTCACTTGATCTTTGAACTGAGTTGTCTGATGACAGGCCCCAATGTAAACAAATGTATTTTAAGTAAAAGTAAGTAATATTTCTTCAAAATCCAGTTAAGTAATCATGAAAGTGACAAATTTTTGTAAGATATTTTATTAAAACCTTAAATGTTTCTGCTAGCACCCATCATTTATGATCAAAGTAATTTTGGATGACAAAAATTAAAATGACAACATGTATAGTTAAAAATAACACCAGCTATGCAGGTGTTAAATTATTTTTAACACCTGCATAGTTGAAAATAATTTTTACACTTGCTATGTAAAACTAATTTTATACTTCAATTAAAATTAAAACTTCAAAGAAGATATTTATACTTTTGCAATACATTTTAATAAAACCTTTATAGAAAAAAGTTTTAAATCTTGCTTAATGCACAAAAGTAATTTTGCTTTTTATATCATTTTTTAGATCTATTTTGAAGTTATGTATGCAAAAATATGAATAATGAATACAGTTTGCATTAGCAGATATAAACAAAAACAGTTGATATGTATTACAAAGTAACAATAAAAAATGAATAATATTTTTTTTCAAAATTATGTAATGTCAGCATTAAACTGAGTAATATTTGTTGAATTTTATGTCTACTTTATTTTTTGGAAAGTTTTCAATTACAGAATTTAAATTTTTCTATTAGTAGACATCAAACAATTGTAGGAGAAAGAAAAAACATAATAGAACTCAGGATAAATTATTAAATGCAATTCTTAAAAGTAGAAAAAATAAAAGCAATTAATTTTCATATAAATGAGCAGAGCATATGTCACTTATTTTATCACTATGTGAAGGTGCTGAAAAGCACTTAGGCTGATGACCAAAAAAAAATTCCCAAAAAGAAATCTGATGTTTCGTCATTTGGTCAGATTTTGAAAAGTGGGTCAGGCCAAGAGATTTTCAGCACCCCCTTGCATAAATTAAATGTTACTTTTATTGTTAACATATGCATAATTAAAAGACTAAAATAGTACCCAAGAAAAATGACAGGAATATTTATATATAAATTGGTATTGCTGTCTAAAATCTGTGTGCAGTATCTATGTACACTGTGAAAAGTGTTAAACACACAAATATATATATATTTGTTAATTTAAGCAGTAAATTCTCTTTTAGGCATGTCTGATTAAATAAATTATAGACATTACGTCTGCTTATTTTTAACATAATCTGTTCATACTCACAAATAACCTTCCATGTATTGCAATTAAATGATGTGAGAATTGTGCTATAACTGTGAAAATCACTTTTATTTCCCAGGTACTTTTGATCTTCTTCCAAGATCATCTTCAGGGGTGCAAGTAGTAATACAAAACTGTGTGTTGCTATCCATTACTGTAATTTTTTTTCTTTTTGCTTTTAAATACAACAGTTAACAGTCATGCTTATCATTCATTAGAATGTGAAAAAATTATCCACTATGGAATTTTTTCTTCTATGTTGTAATGTTATGGTCATGCACACATTAAAGCGAAGGAATAGTTTTTCACACTTTAATGTGAAAAACTGTTCCTTTGCTTTAATTTGTATTGTTACTTGCACCCCTAAACAACACACAGTTTTGTATTACTACTTGCACCCCTGAAGATGATCTCAGAAGATCAAAAGCACTCAGGAAATAAAAGCGATTTTCACAGTTATAGCACATTTCTCACATCATTTAATTGCAATAGACAGAAGGCTATTTGTGAGTATGAATGGATTATGTTAAAAATAATATCAATGGTTCCATATAGTGACTTTTTATAATAAACATTAACTTTATTACTTAATTTATTAAGAGATGTACAAATTTATGAAGCATATGTAGAAACCTTGTTATAAAAATGTACAAATCCACTTTGTGAATATAAAGATAAAATAATTCTAACACATGGTACCTTAGTGTCTGCACCTCCATTTTCCTGTACCATGTTTAACTTATAACTTTCTGAGTTTGTTAACAATACACAGCCTTTCATTTTTTTTGTTTTAATCATAATATAAACTCATCAACAAGGAACAAAAATATAAGCATTGAATTTACTATTAGACTACCATCAACAACAAATAAATAATATTCATCCAACATTAGAATATGGAAGTACATATTAAGGCAATTTCTGATACCAATACTCATATGTACAGAAGATCTGGTAAGTGTTGATAAATATTTGAACAAGATTACTGACTTTTGAAAAGTATTCTTTTGTATTACTTTTGAAAAATATCAATAACTATTTTGTTTTAGATATACTCCATCTTTGATGGAATGGAAAGTTACTAATGAAGGAAAAGTAATTGAAGATATGAACATGTTTTTATTGGTTTTTTAGACATTGAAGTCATATTCAATATTATAAAGTAAAATCAATCCGAGTTCTTGAAAGGAAGCATAATTACAAGGTGATTTGTTAACAAAGGTGGTTGCATTTAATTGCAGATATCCTGAGATCTTCAAGCATAACCAACTACTAAGAGTAATAAAAATTATGAAGAACTTTGTTAGAAGGCATTGAAATTGTCACTTTTTGATATTCCATAAATTAAACAGGAAAATTTTGTATAGTATTACAATAAAAAATATCAAAAATATTTTTTGTGTGCAAAGTCCATTATGTGTGTTTTTAACAATTCTTGAATGTCTTAAAATACAAATAGTACATTCTTGTATATCTCTTATTTGCTTGATCTCTCATAATCTCTTTAAAAAGGTGAAATAAACATTTTTGTGTTTGGTTTTTCATTTTTGTTTTTGTTTTTTTGCTGAGATGTGGATAGTTTTTAGAATATATTATATCTGAGCATATAAAGCAAAAACATTGTCTATTACCTTATTTATAACCATTTGTTCTGGTAGACTTGAATGTTTTTATTCCATCTTCAAGGAAATATAACAAGAATAAAAACAAATACATTATTCCTGCATTTAGAATTTTTAACTATAAAATAAAACAGTAACTTGTTATTGTAAGCTAAAAATAACCCAAATATTTTATGGGAAAAATTAAAACTATTACAGATTTTCTTTTTTATATTATTTTTATTGACTCAAGATTCATTTTTTAAAAAATAAATAAAAATGAATAGATTCCCAAATATGTTTGTAGAGTTTTAAAAATTAATAAAAAGATTGTAATCTGATTAAATGTCATGTTCACCCCCTTTCCCAATAACATATAATTTTGATTCTAAATTTTGTAATTCTTTGATCTGTAATCTTAAAAGTAAGATGACTTTTAAGAGGAAGTACATATATTTTTCACAGAGTACAAACTTCTTTCTGTTATAGGTGTGGGTGAGGATTTCAGATTGATTTCTGTATCTTTACTTACTATATTTTCTATTTGTAACTTTTTCTTTGTTTTCAAGAAATGGAAGGGAGCAAAAGATCAAAATTATAATTTTAACTTTGAATAAATGAAATGAAATAAAATTAATATTCTTTAAATGAAAAAAGAATGAGTAGCATCCTTTTGGGTTTTTGTTTTGTTTTGTTTTGTTTGTGTCTATGATGTCCCACCCACAGTGACCTTCTGACCTGCTATCGAAATGGGTTTTTCTGGCTAACACACGTGACATAAGTAAAGGTTTCTACTAGTTTCAGCTTCCTATCACCGAGCCATGATCAAGAGGAATGAAGAAATTATTGCCGACAGCAGTCTTTATGGGAAAATAATGGACTACCCAGATCTAGGTATGCTGTACTGAAAACTCCTAGATGTGGCAAGTTGCAAAGATCAACTCAGTAGAACGAGTCTTGTCCTTTTCATGCAACATGTCGCAAGTTCTTCCTTAAACCTTCTCCAGTTTTATTAGAGTTTGAATGAAGGAAATAAAGAAAAACTAATCATTGCACCTTTGGTTTGTTTCTTATAAAGTCCAAATTTCATCATCATCTTTTCATTAACAAATTAACCCAATTAACAATAATTTATTTTCATCTAATAACTTTAGAGATAAAAATATATAATATTTTAATTTTATATTAAAATTAAGTTTTAAAACATTAGTAAAAGCTGACACAAAACCCTTTAACTTTCACAGTAAAAATTGTTTAGTGACCGCTAAATAAAAAAAATTCACCACCATATTGATAGTATAGAATTTTTCAAGTTATTTGATCTAACATTTACACTTCATTTTCTTTTAGATATGAAATGATTAAAAAAATTATGTATCAAAATGAGAAGACTGATAATCAGACCTCTTCAAGTAGATTATTTTTCTCTTCCAAAAATAAAATAGATTGAGTATAAATAGATTGTATACTGCAAAATACAAAGAAACAAATAAAATAAGAATGCTGGATAGAAATGATTTTAATCCCAATTGTTTTAATTTATGGATATTGTTTATTCTGAAACAATAACTATGGGCAAATTCCTTTACTCAATCAATCTTCTTGCAACACCATTCCAGTCAAAATAACAATTATTTATAAGTGTCCATTGAAAAAAATGAACAATTAAAAAGTAATGACTGTATTTTTATTGCACAACTCAACCAAGAAAATACTTTTTAAAATATTCTTGTGTATTTCTGAAAAGACTAGATTTGGGATTCAAACAGTATTAAGTTCAGTTATAAATGAGGAATGATTATTACACAAGAAAATACTGCAGAGGTTTTAATTTAATCCTAACTTACAATGAAAATGTGTTAATCTGAAGATGATCAGATATCAGAATGAGGAAATTAATGGAAAATTTAAAACAAAAGATGAGCTTAACAATCCCAATAACTCCTTTCCATGCTATTTTGATGAATTGATAATTGAAAGATAGAAAATTATGGACAGAACTCTATATGAAACATTTATCCATGAAATTAAAAATCTTAAACCAGTGTGAAAGATTCAAATAACATGATTAAGAAAATGGTTAAACAAAAATGTATAAATTTCTTTGCACTTTAACTTTTTCTAAATATTATAACAGCATAGAAAATTATTCTTGCATGTAAAATTGACATAAATTAAAACTATATTTAGAAATAGTAAAAATAAGATTTTAAGTTTTGGGGCCCTCAAAGATTTCAGAAATCTTTTTGTTTGCTATTTGTTTATTTATCTCTGGGTTGTTTTCTGTTTTAAAACTAATTGTATAATTTCTCACTCTATCTAGTTAATATGAATAATTTGCATTTATTTATCATGAATGACTTGCATTAAATATCAGCATTTGTTTTATGCATGAGAATGGATGTTTTCCATATACACAATAACTGCAAGGACTTTAGTTTCAAACTCTGTGGCTTTTGTATATTTCTCTGTATGTGTGTGTGTGTGTGTACAAATATTGATGTGCAAATAAATGTCTATAATAAATGCAAAAATTCTTTGATTTTCTATGAACAATTTTGAAAATTAAGTAAAATTTGGTATTTACAGTTGAAAAACAACCTAAAATATTTAATATTTCATCTTAAACTAAATTACATATATTTTTTTTATCATGTAAGACTCTAAAGGTCATAATTATTTCATTGTGCAACAAAAATATTTTGTCTTTTGTAAAATTTCTAAAAGAGAACATCAAAAATACAGGAAAGTTTATTAAATACTTGTTTCTGACCTTATTAAGTATCAATATCATTGATACAAGTAATTTAAGATTTGCAACATTAATTTTTACTAATTCTAGTACAAATGCATTGTTTTGTTGAAAATCACAAAATTATTAAATACTATTTATGATTGATAATTTTATTTTCTGAAGGTCCAGTGTATATCTGCTTTTATATCATGTGTATTATAACTATCATCAATTTGATTCTGACGAAAGATCATATGTCTAGGTCAATAGTTTGATATTTTATCACAAAACTAAATCAAAATTGCTGATTAAAGATAGCTTAATCAGAAAACAAGTTTCATTTTTTGGCTCTGAAATGTTTAATAGCATGACTGTTCATAAGGAATTGAAAAGCTCCAAAGTAATTATTTGAAAAGTGGACACAAGAACTATTTTCATCATCTGTAAAATATTTTACAATAATAATTATAGATATCTCCTATTTACTATCATGAACAATCAATATTATCTCAGATGAGATAACTAATTTTTAATATCCTATATTTAAGATTTGTCGCCTAAAAAGATTATAAATCTAATTGTCTTTAATTGACAATATTTCTATCATTTTTTTTTCAGGCACAGCAACATCACCAGCAGCTATCAATGGTGCACCAAACATGCTCTCTCCAACAGTTACAAGTTTCCCTGTTCCTCAAGCCAACAGCCAAGCCCCAGAAGTATATGCTAATGGTATTCCACATTATCCAGGTATATTTACATATTCTTCCAAATTAAAGAGCAGTCAATATTTCAAACAAGACATTCTCTTCATGTGACAAATACATTTAGCATTTGAAATGAGTTCTAAAGAGAATCCATGTTTGACTTCAACTCTTCAAAATATTTAAGTCAGTATTTTAATAGAAAGGCTGGACTTATGAATATTATAGCAACAGTTAGTTTTTTTTTTCTATTGAGACTTTTCCATTCAGAGATTGTTTCTCATTTTATTTAACAATATGTCTTTGATTTTCTTCAGCTCAAGCAGTTGCTAATGGTGACCCACTCCAGGCCTATGCAGTACAGCCTTATGCAGGAATTGGTAAGTAAATAAAATTATGTTATTCAAGGTTTTTTAGTTTCTATCTTGACACAAACACAGATTTTAAAATTGTTTACCTCAAAATCACTATAATTTCACAAGCAAAATAAAGTCAAACTCTAAATGAAATATCATAAGATAAAAAATAGAAATAATTGCAATACTATATAACAAACTAGCAGTAGAGCCCAGCGTTGCCCGGGGATGTAACAGTAACAGATAGATCAAGTATCCACCATCATAAAGACTGAAAAATAAAATTGACAAAGATTATTGTCTAAGGTTGACCGATACGCATGTCTTAATTAGTTTTTTTTGTTTTGTTTTGTTTTTTTTACGAATTGGTCAAACTCAAACAAAAACATTGTTTTCAATCGTTATGAGTCTACCGATTGAATAGAATTTTATTATAAACAATTGTCTTGTAAATGGAATTTTTAAAGTATTCTGAATGTAAAAATAAAGAAAAAAGTGTGCAAGACAATAAGAAACACTACCTGCCAAAAAAAAAGTGAAGTTTTGTTGAAATCGGTTGAAAAATATAGGAAATCCGATCCCATATATAAATAAACACACACACACACACACACACAAACAAGCAACCTGGGTTTTATAATAAGTATAACTCGATATGAGTTGTCCCCCTTTCATTCTGGCGATGACTCTTAATTGTGTTTTCAAATTGATTTCGTGCAAAAACAATTGTGTTTTTCCAATTTTTGGTGCTGTCAGAACCACCGCAAGGTAATTTTACATAGTTCTGTGAAGTTTTGTTGAAATCGGTTGAAAAGTGTAGGAAATCCGATCCAATATATAAACGTACACACACACACACACACAAACAACTTGGGTTTTATAATAAGTATGATAATAAAATCAAATACCTATTTTTATTGCTGTTTCACTTGTTCATAATTTGATTTTACTTTAATTCCAGCTGCTTACCCTGCTGCCTATGGCCAATTCCAACAAGCATTAGCCCAGCATGCTACAATCCTTCCCACAGCACAAAAAGAGGGTAAGGCATATGGTTCAATCCTATCCTATCCTATCATTTAGCCATTTTCTTTCAAAACTATAAAATCTTCTTCAATAAATTTAATACAATTTGATTTTCTCAATAATTGAACAGTTAAAAATGTTAAATAATTATAAATCACTTTGCTATTTTATTAAAGAAAGTAGAATAATTTGGGTTTTTCCACAACAAATTTTGATGTGTTTCATCATGAAATTAGGTTAAAACCAATGAAATATTTGTATGTCCATGACATATGGATATTAAATATTAAAATCAATCAAGTTTATATATTATCAATTTAATTTTGATGTCAGAATTCAAATCTGAAGTCACAGATTTCTTTACTTATCAATAAATTCAAATAAGTTATATGAAATTTCATTGAGCAAATATAAAGATGATTTAGTTTTTATTGCATGGAAACAATTCAGTTTTAGTTTCATATTTCAAATTATTAAACAATTTTGGTGAAAGTCTCTTACAATTAAAATGGAAGAATAATATACTTATGACTATTTAAAATAAGAACCAAAGTTTCAGTTGAATTATAGAATCTTTTTGTGTCTCATATTCATAGGACCTGAGGGCTGCAATCTATTCATCTACCATTTGCCACAGGAATTTGGAGATGCTGAACTCGCTCAGATGTTCATGCCTTTTGGAAATGTAATCAGTGCCAAAGTCTATGTTGACCGAGCAACAAATCAAAGTAAATGTTTCGGTAAGTAAAGCAATTTTTTTGGTCTTTTATAGACTTGTTTAGTAACTTCCATTTTATTTCTATTAGAATTAAAATTAGAATCAATTGTGTCCTAAATTATGTTACATTTGTAGTATTTGTGTTAAAACTTATTATTTTTTTAAATTGATATATTTCAAACTTTTCATTTTTTAATTTTATTTTTATTAGCTAAATATGTTTGTTATTATTTTCTTTAACATTCACACAGAAGAGATACAGTAGGGAAACATCTAAAATCTAACTCTATGGTTAAATTCCTTATCTTTTTTTTCTTTCATAATAAGGAATTTAGTTAGTGTCATTTAAAATGAAAATCTACGGTGTAGTTGTTATTTAATTTTTTAATACAGGATTGAATAAATTATTTCTGTAGATCAAAACTGGAACCAACCAATCTGAAATTTGATTATTCAATAAAAAATGTTAAATAACTAGACCTTAATTGGTACTGAGAGTTAATTTATTCAAATTATTTTTGTTCCAAGTTCACATTTCTCAGTGAACCTATTGGTAGACTGAACTGTATTTACTGTTTGTGAAAAATTCCATGTTATCTAACCATGATCCAAGGACATCTCCAGTGATGTAAAAGAATAAATTCCATGTTATAACAACAATTACTTTTTAATAAAACTTTGGATTATTATATTTACTAAGCTTACCTGTCTAACATGAAGCCAAATGTGAAAAACATGGAAGTAGGAAATCATGTTGAGTTAATCTTCCAAGACAACACTTAAAATTATTAAAATTATTAATTCAGAGAAAACTATGTTCACTAACAATTTAAGAAAATAAAGCAAATAACTGGATTTGTTCATTATGGAAAATTTAAATCAAGTAAAAGTAAATAGCACTTGAAAAATCTAAAAGTAGATAGCACTTGAAATTCTTTATTAGTTTTACTTGAGTTCCATTTCAATCAGAGCTGCCTTTTTGGTTCCATTTATACCAAATTGTTATTTTTCACATTACTTCATTCACATTACTTCTGTTACAGTATAAAATGATGTAAAGTTCAGATTTTGTGAAAAACAAGTTTTGAGCATCTATTTTGTAAATTATATAAATTATATTTTTTCAAGAATTTAGTCTGTTTAACTGAAGATATTGTAATTCTAATTTAAATATACAAGACTTTGATGTGTAAACATATTAAATTATTAATAAATGAATAATTTATTGTAGATTATGTTTTCACTTTATCTCTTACTGCATAATTCTAAGAGTGTGTGTATGCATGAATATATATGAGATTGCATATAAAGTAATTTCAATATTTCTTTTTCAAATGCAAAAAAGTTCATTTTTTCATCATCATCATTATTTAGTTTTGATTATTTTTAGTTGATAATATATTGAGTTATTTCTTGAGTTTACAATGCAACTGATTACCACCTCTTTAAGTTTCCTATAACCTTATTTACCATTGTTATCATTATATCCCATAAACCAAACTATTAACACCTATTCAGTTGCTTATATAGTTTAAGAAATAAGTCAATATAATCAAGATGAACATTGTTGAAATTATCCAATAATTCAATATTTTTTTCCAGCATGTTTCCACTTTTATCACTTATTCACTGCCAATTTTTGTATGTATGTACATACTTGTGTGTCTGTGTGTATGTATATTTATATAAACACACACACACACACACACACACACACACACACACACACACACACATATATTTAAAAGTGGAAATTGAAAAAAAGAAGGACTGAAAAATCTTTTTATTTTAAACTTAGGTGTCAGCTGCATCAACTAACTAAAAAGCCTAATTGCTTGCTTGCTTTTTAGTTTCTATCTGTTGTGAATTTTATTGTTGAGTGAAATAATTCCTTCATCCAGTCTATGTGGTGTTTATGCACTTATAATTATTGTTTGCTTGTGTTGGAATTGCCCAGTGTTGTTTAGAAAAATCTTCTATGCTTTGTATATTTTAACTGGAGCACAAGTCACCTAACATGGAGACATTGGTAGAAAAATATTTTCTGATGAAGAGAGAATTAAATGAAAAAAAAGGAAAAATATTCATTTTTAACAGGCCCTGAGGTTTATAAGCAATTTTTTAATTCATTTGTTAATGAAAAAAAATAAAGCAAAAACCAACTCATTAACTGTATTGAAACAAAACCCATCCTGTAAAAGAAAAAAAATGTCTTCCTTATACCACTTGAATGCTAAGCATTTCAAAGTTTCCTATTAGCATGCAATCTAACCGCATCTTTTTAGTTGTGTTACTTTCTCTTTATCAATTGATTGGAGACAAGTTCTTTCTTGTGCCACTGACACTTATCCTTCCATCAACTTGTTGGATTAAGCTGAGCAAAGTGAATCTTCCTGAAGAGGAAAAAAACAGCTACTTGGATTCAGTTATTGTCTTTTTCCTTGTGCTTTCCAACTTTTATGAGAAAAAAATCCAAGGAAGCAGCCTCATTAAAAGTGGCAATAGCATACAAGTTATTTAACCAGCTCCACAAAGAAACAATTTGTGTCAGTCAGCAACTAACCTCTCATCTCTTAATATAAAACAGATATTTTGCAGATTTTTTTTCATGAAATCACTAAATTATCTTTTAGATTTTTATACGTAAAATCAATCTCTGTGAAATCAATTACAAGATGAGTATAAGTGTATTTATCATTTTATATATATATATATATATATATATATATATATATATATATATATATATATATATATATATATATATATATATATATATATATATATATATATATATGCATGTGTGTACAGTTATTTATATAGACAAATAAACATATACACATTTGCATATATGTTTATGTATATTATTCCTAAACCAAATGAAAGCAATTTTTGTTTTATATAAAAATACTTGTTTCTCTTGTATCTCTCTGCACACAAATATGTATCTACATAATCAGTTATGTATGCACATTCATATTTGTGTACTTATGTTGACTTAAGGTAACTTAAGGCAATTTTTCTTATTAATGCACAAGTGCAGACAAACACTACTATTCCGCATTTTTAAGCAATAATTACAAGTCAAAGTCAGATTGTGATCGTCCTGTCATTGCAGGCGCTTCTTCTTCTTTAACACGAATGCTCAACGTGGAAAAAGCTGCAGTCCCAAGACAAATTCTTGAAAAAAGAATGTTAATGACATAATTTATTCATTCATTCTGATGGTTTTAGTTCTAAGTTCAAAGCAGGTAAATATCTTAAAGTTCATTAAAATTTGGTGTGTAGTTAAATATATTTTGATTTTTAAGCAATCAAAAATCAAAAAAGATGCACCACTTTTTCTAAAAAGAACTTTAGCCCTTTCTCTTGATATTATAAAGGCTCATTATAAAGTCTTTAACTTAATATTTATCAAATCTCAGTTTTCTACTAATTTTAAATGCTAAAAGAATGATTAAAAAAATATAGTATCAACTAAATTTACAATTTTTATTCTTCCTTCTTTTAACTCAAAATACATTTAATACAAAATTTAATAATTCACAAGTAACTTCTTCTATGTTATTAATCAAGTTAAAGTTTTAACAATTCAAAAGCAAGTTAATCAGAATAAAGTCCCTGCATATTCACTGTCTGTGTGGAATTTAATTTCAAAGATATTGTAAACAATGAATTTAGATTTCACAACTAGAATCAATTCATGACATATAAATACTTAACTGACAAGTCATTTACTGTACAAAATTCAAGAAAAATTGAAAGAAAATGAAAATATTTATCAACAAAATTCTTCAGTAAAAATTTTATTCAGCTTATTTTAACAGAGTAGCTTAAGATAATGTCATTGATGGAAAATTCAAATATTAAGTATAGATTTAAATATCCAACTTAACCATCTTTGTACATCTTTGTATATTTTAAAAAATAATATAACTTTATTTCTTTAATAGATTTTTATGATTTACCCAGATACATTATAAAAATAGTATTAAAAAATGACCAAATTTTCAAAATGTTCATTTAGAACAAATAAATGTTGCTTCAATTCATAAAAAAGAATTATTAAAACTCAGCTTTCAATGAGTGCTGAATAAGCTGTGAATAAATTCCAGCTTTTAAATAGCAGCTTTGTACTTCTCAAAAATAAAATCCTATCCCTACACACAAGCCACCAATCTGCCACTGGGTGGCATGCCACTAGTGTTTACCGCTGTCAGACCACTGAGGTTTACTGCTGTCAGACCACCTGTGTGTTCCTCTCAGCAATGTTACCACTAGAGGCCCACCAGTGGCTGCCACCAGAAGACTGCTCACATTGTCATCAGCACCCACCACCAGTGGGCCACTTGCAGTTTGTGTTTAGGGATGTAAACTACAAAACAAGCTACAAAACTACTCAAAGTTATGGTTAAATGCTATGAGATTCAATTTTTCAAATACCATCTCTAATTTCAAATCAGTTCAATCATTTCTATGTTTTACTTAGGTTCTATAGGTTTTTTATTGGAATCTGATTAATAAAAACAAAATGCTTTGAATCTAAAAACCATCAACTGAATGAATACATAGGTGTAGGAGTACTGGATTTTTTATTTTTCTGTTTCTTCCTTCTTTTTTAACCCCTTCCATCAATTTTCCATTTTGTTTCCAATGGACTTGCCCATTTCACAAAAATAAGTTCTCCCTTCAAAAGGCTTTGACAAAGCTGAACAAGGAAGAGTAAAGTTAGAAACTGAGAGGAAAGGGATTAACGCAAGCGTGTGGGATGAGACAAGGGTCTTTCGGTCGGCTAGTTGAACTTGTTTTTGTTTTCTGCCATCAGGTTTTGTTAGCTTTGACAATCCGGCGAGTGCCCAGGCTGCTATACAAGCCATGAATGGATTTCAAATTGGAATGAAGCGCCTGAAGGTACAGTTGAAGCGTCCAAAAGATGCCAATCGCCCCTATTAGAACGACTTCTTATCAAATTAGAAATGGTAAGTAAGGGTTAAAAGTTATTTACAAAAACTAAAACTATGCTCCTTGCTTCAAAAAAATGAGAAAAAAGAAAAAGAGCAGCCCTATGTAAAATATACGTTTCAGAAAATTCATTACCGACACGGTTTAAAGGAAGACAACTCCTTGTTTAGTAAGGAGAGAAGTTTTCAAAATAGTTTTCGATTACCTCCCTTGAATGAGTGGCCATTTTTTTTTTACTTTAATGAGAGAGCGCGAGAGAGTGCAAAATCAAAGGGAAGTAACTCCAGTATCGCTCAAATTTCTAATTTGAGTTTTATTTGGTAAGATGCGCTTGATGCATATTTGTGACCTTAGAATTTTTTTTGCAAGTTTTTTTTTTTAATGAAGCCACAAAATCGAACTTTATATATTTTGAATTTTTTCTGTGAAACTGATCTGAATTTTTACAAATATTTTTAATAGTGCTTAAAAATCAAGATTTTTAACCTTCACTTGTCAAAAATATCTTTCAAAGCACTGCATTAATTTTCCAAATTATTAAACCAAAGATAAATGTATAAGTCATCTGACTTTGAAAGAAATTTCAAAGATATAATTTTCTATTTTTGTGTCATTTTTTTTGCAAACAAGAAACTTTTAACTTTATCATTGTTATCAGATAAATACCAAGATAGGTACTACAAAGAGATGGAAGAAGAAAGAGGAAAATATAACAAAAATAAGATAGCACTAGGTGGAGTGTTTACGTAATTTTTATTTTTTTAACTTTCTTTCTTTCTTTTTTAATTAACCTTCACTAGGTACTTTACAAAATATAAGTGTTAAGCATAAATTATATTAAATTATTACAGTTATGTAAGTAAAAGAACAATATTTTAATTAATTAAAAGTAACTGAAAATTTGGCTGCCATAAAACAGCTAAAAATGATTTTTAAAATATACAAAGGACATAATGAAATGTAACAGATTTATTTGTACATAAACATTTTCAGGAAACTTATTTTAATTTTCTATATTAACTGAAAATTTCAAACAAGAACAATTTCAGCTGCCTCTATTTTTAAATCATTTAAAAAAATAGTTACAAAACATAAAAATAGATATCTATTTTCAAATAGAATCAAGAACTCACTACCAAAGTCTCCAACATTTGGTACCACACACCGCATAATAGTTTATTTTTTTAATTTTCTACTACAACTACTACTACAGATTAAAGAAACTTATACAAAATATAAGAGAAAAAATGAATTCCCATAGAATAAGCCAGAAATTAAGAATGTGTCTGTTTCTCCCACCATTTATGTTTTATTTTCTTTGTCTCCCAAAGCAATTAGCAAGCAATTCCCTCCCTGGTCTTTTCTTCCTTCCTTTTTCTGCTTCAGCTATTGTAGTAGTGTAGCAGCTATTTTATGTCTGTCTTTGCTCTGCCTATCTCTTCATTTCTGAATTTTATTCACCATTCTTAATAGACGGACAAAGGACTGACATTGTCATTCAGTCTAACTTTGTTAATTTATTTTTCAAAGCTTTCTTACCTTTAGAAAGTTCTTCAACAAAGCTGTTTTATATCAGTTTAAACTGACCATTATATCTTATTTTGGTTGACTGGTTGGCCCAATCCAGTCCTATCTTATACATTTGGCCAGCACTTAGTGTGGGTCCTCCTCCTCTATTGAAATCTCACCTTCTCTAATCTTTTCACTCATGAATCACTGCCACACACTCACATAACATATAATGTGTCTCATATAGTGAAAGGATTACCCATATCACTTTCTATATTCACAGAATTTCATGAGACTTAGAACAGTGTGTGTACTGCTCAGTGAGATGGGTGAGTGTTCAGATGTGTCAGTCCATCTGTTTGTTTGTCTGTCTATATGTCTGTCTATTTATGTCTCTGTATATTTCTCTGATGTTGTCATGTGCTTCCGGAGGATGTCATTGCTGGTGGTGACAAGTCCCTATTCACATGTTGCGTGGGGTGTTAGCTATGATGTTGTAAGCTGCTCCATGGTTTCCTAACACAAAGTATTTATGATATGCTGCAGAATGCTGGCTCATCTTTCTTGCTTGTATTTATTTCTTTTTCATTAGCAAATCTCCTGTTTATTTCCTTTAGTCTCTGTGATTATTATTTACTCACAGCAAGTTAAGTTTACATTTTCACCCATGTATTCCCAATTGATAGAAGACAATAGTAAACCAAAGCAATTATATCAAATTTCATCATATTTTTTTAATTCAATTAAAATATACTTTGAAACATCTTTCAATGAGTCTTTCATAATAGGTTTTATAAAAGTTGAAAACTAACAAAATCTCAACAAATTGCAAATAACAGTTAAATGATGATTCTTAAAATACACATCCTAAAGTGAACATTTTTTCATGTAGTGTATTGATAAATGGGATTATTTGTTATAATCACTTGGTTATGCTAAAAATAAGTATAAATTTAAGTCAAAGTAGTTAAGCAATAATTGATGTAAATAATAGAGAGCAATGACATTAAATTTCACATTAAATAATAAAAATGTGTGGATGCACAAATTCCATAAAAAAGAATTAAAATGCAGCATTTGCTATTCATGAACATAGTAATTTTTAAAAATTTAGAAATTGAGTTTTATTAAAAAATATAATTTAAGATATTGGAAATTATCAATATTTTAATGTATTTTTAAAAACTTTTGTTAATGATTAGTATAAATTTTTACATGAAAAATACAATGTCCCCTTACATTTTAAACTAACTTTGTATTTTCTAAAATTCAATCTGGCCTTTCCAAAGAGCAGAACAAAGCAATAGCTATACAATTCATTTAAACATGGACTTTCATTTCTCAGTTTTCATTAGGCTGCATTTGAAGTAAAGAATCAAGACAACACAAACACTTCACATCTCTCTGCTTTTCATGACTGAAAATTGATGACATTGTTTGGCTTTGAAAGTCTAAAATTCAAATCTCATCTTGTTAACTTTTGTTTAGCCAGAATATCTGCAGTATATTGATTTTTTTTTTAATTACTACTATTACTACACTTTCACCATTCTCAATAGTAGTTCAAGTCACAGATGGTTTTTCGCTCAGACATTTGAGCAGAAATCAACTCTGCATACATGTGCAGATGTCCTGCAAAGTGCAATACTGCCCAGTAATAATCTGCATACCTGTAGGCCATGTTTAGTTCTGACTGTGGTAGATAGTTGTGGTATCATTGGTGACCGGGTCATCATGGTGTTTTTTTAATCGTTGTCTTCGTGAAGTCTTATTGCAACATTGGATGTCATTATTGATTGGTTTTTGCTTGTGTCTGTGATATCTACACTAATTCAATCTATTTATTTTATTTAATTTTATCTCACTGCAGCTTTGAAAAATATTTTTGTTGCTTTTCTTCATTAATCATTTTTCACTCAGACATGGAAATATGTCCTTTTATTGTTTTGTCATTAAATGAATCTAAGTTAAATTTCAATATTATAATACATTTTTCTCTTTCACACAGAACAACCTCAATAGCATTGTCTTTTACTTTTAAGTTTTACAAAGAAAGCAAGAAATTGGCAAATATCTATAAATGCTTAACCTATACTATATTTTTTATTATTTTAAATGTCATATTTAGTGGATACACATGCTTAAGTAGAAATCCCTGTTTTTTTAATGGTGTAAATTTATGTCTACCAGCCTGTGCATTTGAGAGTCTTAATAAAGAAAATGTGCCTTTTGGCAAGATACAAGCCTGCATTTCCCTTGTAGAGGAAACTATCATTTAATCTCAGCCACAGAAGACTTTTACAGTCAAGCAAAATTCAATGACCCTATTTAAAAAATGCACATCTCTTGTTCAGATTTCTCAAAGCCCAAATCTGCCAACATTTATTTTCATATCTAAGAGATAAACAAAGTAATTTCTAAGGAGTTAATGGATTTTATTTATAATTCAACATTTATTACTTTAAACATTATATTTAGCGGCTACACATGTTTGAATAGACATTCCCATATTTAAACAGGCCACTAGACATAGACTTACATTATTTATAAAACAAGGATGTCTACTGAAATATGTGTTTCCACTAAATTTAACATTTATAGTAATAAGAAATAATGTCAGATTACAAATAAAATCCATTTATTTCTAGGAAATTACTTTATTTATAAATAAAATCCTTAGGGACTACATGCTATATTATAAGCATTTTACTAATGCAAACTTAACTTCTGTCATTTGTACAAATTTCAGCAGTATATCACACAGAAACTGAAGTTTTAAAATATTTTTCAACTGTTCAACTCTGACAAGACAAAATCAGGCACACATGGAAAAGTAAAAATGAAAAGTCAGAAAGCAATAAAGATGAATATGACTTTGACTAGAATATGAAGAAATTAGGATCAAAGGGTACTGAAAACAAATACAAAATTAGATGTACCTGTACATAAGTCATTCATTATTACTTTAGTACAATTAAAAGTCAACATTTGTCATAACTAGCAAGGGATATAGCAACTGTTTTGATGTCATTAGCATGATAGTTATAGTGTAGCTAGCCCATAAATTGACTGAACTTAAGCTACCATGTTAAATAACTGACATGGAAACAGTAAATGGAAAATTGGAGTCAAGCACTTAGTAAATACATCAATGTTCAATTAAACACTATAGTTTGAATTTTATGCTTTTTTTTTTCAACTATATCAATTTTTACTAAAAATTGTAAACTCTTATTACATAAATGACAATATACAGACACAAGTTAAAATCTACACTAAAACATTTCCTAAATATTCAATTTTATTGTCAGATTCTAAATCTATACAAAAGGCAAAAGAAGGAAGATACAATACATTTCTTTTGGAATGACAAATACATAGGGAAAACCAAAATAAAAAATGAGAACAATTTATAATTCTATAAATTATTTACATCCTTTTCTTATAAACAACAATAACCCCAAAATCCATCACTTTAGAAA